AATCGTGCCAAAGGTGCCCGGGAGGTTCGACACCGTCGTCAAAAGACCGTACATGACGCCTTCGTTACCGACTTCGGCGAGCTCGACAATGACGTACGTGCCGACGACAAAGTTGATACCGGTGGGGATGTTCTCCAGGACCGGCACGCCGAGGTAGAACCACTGGTTGCGGACAACGTCAAAGATGGTGCAGAACTGGCAGACCGCGTCGATCGCGTACGTGACAAGGATCGTAATCACGAGCACGAAGCGCCAGTTCCAGTGCGTGCCGTAGGTACCCGTGAGCGTGAGCACACCGGCAAAGAGGAACTGACTCACGACACCGACAATCTGCTGGTTGAGGTTCTCGACTCCAGCCCAGTACAAGGCAATATAGTCACCGGCCGTCGAGGTGATCGACTGGAACAAGCCAAAGAGGAAGTTGAAGAGGAGCACTTGCCACACCGCGCGCTTCTGGACAAGCGTCCAGAACTGGTCAAAGTACGTGCCAAGCGGAATGCGCACGCGCTTCTCGTCCTTGACAAAGATCCAAATCACCACGACGTTCAAGCACGACGGGACGGCCAGAATCCAGAAGTACCCGTTGATACCAATGTCCCAGTCAAAGTCGCCGGCAAAGCGCTTCGAGTTGAGGCAGTAACCGCACACAAACTGGATGAGACCGTAAAAGATGGTGCGCGCCGCGTACGAGAACGACTGCAGACGACCACGGACAGCATCGGGCTCGCGCTGGGCGACCGCAAGCATGAGCGCGTCCTGAGCGACATCGGCCATGACGTAGCAAAAGCCGGCAATCGCAGCGAGGAGGATAAAGACCGGGCCATCGGTTTGCGAGCCTTCCTCACCAGGGTCCTTGATGGCGATGACGAGAAGCGCGATCGAGCAGAGCGTCCAGCCGAGGAGCATGTACGGCTTGCGCGAGTAGCCAAAGATCGGGAAGCAGTCGTTGAACATGCCAAAGACGACCTTGAGCGACCAGCCAAGACTCAAGAGGGCCTTGGCCGAGTTGCCGACGTTTGTCTCGAGCTGGAAGTAGCCCGTGACGATCGAGTAGCGCATCGACGTGACACCGCCGTAGACGATACCGATCATGGCGTACTGGAAGAGGATCGAGAGACACTCGGCCGACGTGTACACGGGGGCACCACCGGCGCGAAGCGCACCGTCTTCAAGCTCGCCGGGCGTCTTGTTGACTTCATAGTCTTCGCCGTTTTCGCCGGCTGCCTTGTCGATCGAGTGCACGTACGAGACACGCTCGCCCGCGATGAATTCCTTGGTGTGGTTCATGTTGAACGGCCGCAGAGGAAATTGCAAAGTGAGGAGAATGCTGGCCGCACCACGTCGCGAGTCCGATCTGAGTCGACAAGAAGAGACGGGACCTCGTTGGCGCGTTGTACAAACTCGACCTCGATTGTGTTCTTCTACCAACACGCGCGTCTCTATCACGCGATAGACGATACAACTCAACGAATGCAATGGCAAACTCAGATTGCACGATGGCGCAGAAGACGACGCTGTTCGTTTCTTTTTCGTGTCGCGCATCCCCACAGCTCCTTTTGGAAGCTTAATCCGACGTGGCGCGACGTGAGCCGGATCCGAATCGCCGGCGTGTCGCAGTTTCACCACCGAACGACGCTGCCAACGTCACTTGCCGTGGCCAAGCGCAGGAGCAAACACTGCAGACAAAAAATGTAGTTGCATTGAAACTTGCAATACGCGTGCTCGACTATTTACGGGAGGACGCATCGGCGCTGTCTCACCCAAGTTGGCGTAAAAAACGAAGCCAACATATGTTTTTGCCTTCTTTGCCCCAGGCTACTCTTGTGCGGCTGTCGAGTGGATAACGTCCCGAACCAGACATCGAGTCCCACGTTCCCCTTACGACGCCCGTATTCGAACCAGGACCAATCCTTGAAGTCTTCTGACGCCCATTTTTCCATACTGGGGCCAAGTCAAAATGCAGCGGCATCTGAGTACACGTCGCGACCCATGAAGTGTCGTATGACACAAGAAAATGTCCTTCTAACGCCCATTCGCGTCGAATCGATAGCACACGCCGCTTATACAGCGATGCATAGCACGTTGGTCCTTGAACAAAAATGAATTTTCGGTTCAAATATCCACGCTGACATGCCAAACCAGCGTACAAACGAGGCGGCAACGACGTCCGAACCAAATGCCAATGGGTGCCGTCGCGAACGGCACAGTGATGTGGCTTGGACATGATGCCCTCGCGTACTACTCTAAAGCATTACTACAAGATCTTAAAACGGGTGTGCAAATTTTTCGTGGTCACGGCCGCTCACCTTGGACACCACGAGGTGTGTGTTCTTTGTGCGCGCCCACACTTCTGCCTCCACCCGCGACGTCGTACTAACGACGACTGGTTTCACGCTAACGTTAGAGAAGGCAGGCGTTAGCTCGCTCGTGTTTAAAGCTGTTTGCACCGGAATACAAGACGACCAAACATATAGTGATGACGTCCCGCCTCGGTTTGCCGTCCAGTGTCGACACCACCCTCAACTCACGCTGCACGCCAGCGACCAACGCCTTGGACGAACCGAATTCCGAGTCTGTATCGTTGGCTGCGTCGTCTACGCCGTCGCCGTCGCGTGCGAAGCGCCAGCGTCGCCCACCGTCGCTCGAGCAGCGCGAAATGAGTCGGCGGCGGTCACAAGTCTATTATGCGCACCACAAACACCGCGTTTTGGCCAAACTCAAACTCAAATACGAACAGCAGCGCAGCGAGATCCGCGCCAAGCGCCGGGAGCTCTACTACCAGCGAAAGCTGCTACAAACGACGACGCGTGACCGGTATTCGTTAGAGTATATTCTCAATTGATCCAGTACATTGTTGTTGTGAGTTTGAGGTGGGCAGTCGGTCGTTCTGTTGTCCAACATTGAGGTACTTGGAGATCTCGTGAGAAAGCGACGTACATGACTCTTGGCTCCACCAACCACTCGTGCTCACGAGACTGGAAATACTTCCTGAAGGACACAAGTACATGGAGAAGAGGGGG